GGGAGAAGGAGAAGCAGGCTTCCTGCGGAGCAGGGAGCCTGACGTGGGGCTCGATCCCAGGACCCTGAGATCATGACCGGAGCCGAAGGCAGATGCTTAACGACAGAGCCACCCAGGAGCCTCTTGTTAAAGATTTTTAAAAAGATTTTATTTATTTATTTGAGAGAGAGCCAGCAAGCTCGCACGAATGGGGGGGAGGGGGAGAGGAAGAGGCAGACTCCCCAGTGAGTAGGGAGCCCAACATAGGGCTCAATCCCAGGACCCTAAGTGGAAGGCCAACCGACTGAGTGATCCAGGTGCCCTGAAGGGTATAAAATTTAAAGTAGAATTTGTACTCCCTCAATAGGGGTAACCACTTTGTTTTTGTTTTTTAAATTTTATTTATTTATTAGAGAGAGAGACAGAGAGAGCATAAGCAGGGCAGAGGGAGAGGGACAAGCAGACTCCCAGCTGAGCAGAGAGCCCGAAGTGGGGCTCGATCCCAGGACTCTGGGATCATGACTGAAGCCAAAGGCAGACACTTAACCAACTGAGACACCCAAGTGTCCTGGGGTAACCACTGTTAACAGTTTTTAATTTTTAAAAAAGATTTTATTTAAGAGAGAAAGAGAGCAAAGCAGGGGCAGAGGGAGAGGGAGAAGCAGGCTCCCCCTGAGCAGAGAGCCTGATGTGGGATTTAATCCCAGGACCCTGAGATCATGACCTGAGCTGAAGGCAGATGCCTAACTGAGACACCCAGGCGCCCCTCTCTGATAAATTTCTACATGTATATATGTATATACACTGTATACGTTATAAGTTCCATTAATACTATAATACATATGACACAAACATACGGTTTTGTATATTACTTACATATAGTATAATATATATTGAAATTTAGAAGACATAAACCAATGCAGTGTGTGTACACAATTAGAATCATACTATGTACATCTTGAGCCCTGCTTTTTATTTTACTTAATATATATTGGGACTCTTTCCAAATTAGTATATGCAAATCTAACTCTTTTTCATGCCTACATGGTATTCAGTTGAATATATTTTCCATAATTTAACTGATTCCTTATTGAGGGACATTTAGGTTGTTGTTGGTCTTTTTCAATTTTCAAACAGTGATGTAATGAACATTTAAAAATGTGTATCTTTACATATCCGGAAAGAATAAGGTAGATTTCTAGAAGTGGAATTGTCAGGTCAAAGAGTAAATACATTTAAACATTTTGATAGCTGTTGCTAGGTTGCTCTTAGATGAACTTGAACAGCTTCCTGCTCCCACCAGTAGAGTGCCCCATTCTCCAAAACCTTTTAGATATTTGTGAAGGTAAAAAATTGTACCTGATTTAATTTACTTATATTAATTATAAATTGTTCATTGTTTATTTTTATTGGTGATTGGTATTTCTTTTAAAGTGCTCTGTATATGTTTTTTGCCCATTTTGCTGTTGACATTAAAAAAATCTGATAATACAAAATTGTATCATGCTTTACAATTTACTAAGTATATTATCTCATTAAAAATTTTTGAACCTCAAATCAACCTTATAATTAGGTCTTTTCTTTATAGGTGATTGAACAGGTCACAATAAGTGGCAGAGTCGGGACTTGAACTTGTATAGCATATGTCCCTCCTCTTACCCACAATTCTGAAAACCAAAAAGTTCTGAAAACCCACTTAAAAAAAAAAAAAAAAAAACCCGACAGCAAAACTCATCTGGCAGCAAAACCTGACCTAAAATGATATGGAGCTACTTATAGTATTTGTTTGTTCCATGCAGTGCATTTATTTGTCAGCATAAATAATGTATTTGATGACATGATGTTGCTCCAGAGTTCCAAATGGAACGTGTTACAAAGCGGATGGGGTATGCTCTGCATTACTGCCTAAAATTTGAAAAGTCCTAAATTTTGAAACACCTGGAGTCTTCAAACTTTATTATTAGCTGATTTAAGAGAGCAGGAAGTTGATTTTAACATTTAATCCGTCTAACGTTTTAAGGTACTGATTACAGTTTGTAACTTGTGTTAGCCTTGCTTATCTACACTGTCCAATTAGGTAGTACTAGTCACCTGGTGTTATTGAGTGCATGTGATTATTGAGTACTAAGATGTGGCCAGTGCAAGCTGAGATGTGCTTTAAGTGCAAAATACACATCAGCTTTCGAAAATTTTGTGCGGAAACAAAATCTCACTCATTTTTACACTCGTTATTACACATTGACATAATATTCCGGATCTGTTGCTTTCAATACAACATTAGCATGTGGGGCTTGCGCTGATTTCTATTGGGCAGCGCTGCCGTCTCTCCAAATGAGTACCACCCAGCCGACACTGCGCGGGGCTAAAATTGAGTGCCTTGACAAGTTCAGGCCGCAAGCAGTTTTGTTTTATTTTGTCTTCTCGTTCTTTCCAAAGTCTTCACACAGTCGCTAGGCTCCCCGGAACGTCTGCAAATCGCAAATCGCAAATCGCAAATCGCGTTTGCAGTAAATTTGCCCAAGCCACACCCCGTCCTTTCCCCTCTTGCTTCTGCGCGGAGACGCGCCCGCAGTGAAGATTGTCCCGCGCGGCTCTCCGTCGGGCCGCGGGCGTTCCAGGGTGCGTGGGTCCTCGCGTCCCGGGCGACGGCGGCGATGGCGTTCCGGTGTCAGCGGGACAGCTACGCCCGCGAGGTGCGGCCGGCTGGGCGAGGGCGGATGGGGCGGTGCGGGAGGAGGGCGCCGCGTGGAGGGGTGCCGAGGGAGGCTCTGTCCCGGTAGCCTGAGGGCTGGGGTCGGGCTTCTTCTCTGTCCCTCTCCGTGCAGTTCACCACCACGGTGGTCTCCTGCCGCCCGGCCGAGCTGCAGATCGAAGGAAGCAACGGCAAGAAGGATGTGCTGAGTGGCTTCCATGTGGTGCTGGAAGACACGCTGCTTTTCCCTGAGGGCGGCGGACAGGTACCAGGCCCGCGCCTCACCCCGATCCCCTCCCAGGAAGCCCCTCATTCCTTTCCGCTCACGTGGGAAATGCCCTCCTGCCCCTCCGCCCCAGCCGTGATGAATGCAGATGGAAGTTAGTTCAATTCAGGTCATTTGTTCACCCAACAGATATTTATCGGGCCATAACATGTGCTGGGTACTTATTTCAGGGGCTAGGGATAAGGGGTGGACAAGGCAGCATCTGTACATACAGAGAATACTTATGGGAGAAAATAGACAAAGTGGTGAATAGATAAAATAGAATGCCCGGTATGGTAAGTGCTATAAAGAAAATGAAAGTTTGAGGGAAAGACAGTGCTGGGATGTTCTCCTAGGGAGGGGGCGAGTTATTTCAGTAAAGAGCTAGGTGAAGAGAGGTGGTAAGCCATTGCAGTTGCCAAATGGTGCTGGTGGGGAAGGGGGAAGTATTCCAGGCAGCGAGAAGAGCAAGTGCAAAGCAATGAGGCATTAGCTTAGGGTGTTTGCCAGGGCCTGGAAAAGATCCCCCTGAAGGAGCACAGCAGAAGACAGGCTTATCTGTGCTGTGATGGGGTAGGGGCATGGTCCAGCGGGAACAGGGGAAAGGAGGGTAATAGCAGCAAAAAGGTGGGCTTTTCCAGCAGGGATAGTAGCACAAACCAAAGGCAGGA